GGTAGGAAAATAATAGCATTTCCTCCATAAAATGGAAGCAGAGAGCTACAGGCTGGGATGGAAAGATAACAGCAGGAGGCAGAAAAGAGATGAGAAAAAGTACCAGGAGGCTGCAAAGAAATACAGACGACATAAAGCTGTATTGGAAGTTTCAAGTAACAGAATTTAGAAATAAAAATTGGGGGAGGGCAAACCAGAAACAAAATGGAAAGACACAGGTTAAAAAAGAAGACTTCAAGACGAATGATTAATAGGTGATTAACCTTGTAATTATATGTATGTTTAAGAAGAAACAGAAAAACTAACAGCAATAACTTTAAAAATAAGTAACATCTCAAAAAAAGTTAAAAATATATAAGTAAATTCTGGTGACTTTTTAAATTATAAAAATAAAATTAAAACTCTAACATGAACCAAGCCTCGCTCCCGAAACTTCCTAAAAAGTAAATCAAAATTAAGCTGCCTCAAACATCTTCTCTACAGAAGAAAAGGCCAGAAAACCACAGAGGAACAATAAAGAATTTCGAGAGAACAGAGCCATTAGCTAAGAACGTTGCATCACAGTACTGGCTGACTTTCTTGGGCGAAGCCACTGGGAAAACACACTTACAAACACATAGTTGTCTTCCCTCCCTGAGAAAGTCATCTAAAAAATTAGCACAATCATTGAAGAATAGATAAAAGTTCATAACTGAAAAATGGGGAAACTACAGTCCAAAACCTTTTGGGGACTAGATGGGTGTGGTGCTGGCCACCAGTGTCTGGATGCCCACCTCTGGCCAGGTGAGCCTGACTTTGCACTGCTCCACGGGCCATAGGGCCTGAACATCTCCGCAGTTTCTATGGACCTCCTGGTCACGCCCCATGGTCCCTTCAAACAGTGTCTGCAGGGGCACTCCTCTGGGATTTGCTAGTCCTGGCTCATTCACGAGGACACTGTCCCAAATGACTCTGGAGCAAAAAGTAAGTTTTCTCCCCACAAAAACACAGTGGAAAACACTGACAAATTAAATGCCAGGGACTTCAATAATGACTTTCCATTTATTTCAAATCCCCACTCACAGATAACTGTTGTTTGTTTTTCATTGAAAAAGCTTAATCTATTTCAAAGCACACTATTTATCATTTTATTCTGGGCCCCGTTCATGGTGTTCCCTAAGTATGCTTTCTTTGCTTAGCAATTCGGCTATATTGTATTTCACAATAAATATCTGGCCTCTGTACTCTCAGGATTCAGATAGATTCAAATAATTTCAGATCAAAAATATTTGGAAAAAATTGTGTCTGTACAGAACATGTATTCTTTTTTCCTGGTCATTGTCCCCCAGAAAATACAATTATCTATACTCCATTCACACTGCATTAGGTATTACCAAGAGATTTAACGCACACAGGAGAATTTACATTGTATGAAAATACTGTGTCATACTAAAGGACTTCAGTATTCAGCGGTTTTTTGTATCCTCAGAGGATCCCAAAGCAAGTCTTCCAGATTCCCAGGGGAGACTGAACAAAGCAGAGGAAAAGATGTGGGGAAACACCCCACAGTGTATGCAAGCAGTGAGCATCTCACAAAGTGCTAGAATTCTAGGAGATATTTTCCCTTAAATCGTTTGCCATTTTCTAGATTTCTTTTAATTATTACATATTAGCCATGTGATCTTTAAAATGTTGTAAAATCAAAGCATAAAATAATTATGAATAGATGATGTATCACACTAATTTAAGATACAGACAACACTTTGTGGCAATGGCATAATTAGATGTTGAGATTCTAGGTAGTATTGTTTGTGTTTCCCTATTTATCTCTTGTGTTTAAAAGAAAAAAGATGGACTTTATTAAAAGAAAAAAGTAAGAAAAATTTTTTAAAACTTTTGTTACTTAATACTTATTCATTTTGGGCCAAAAGGTAATTAATAAGTAAAGAACTCCACCAGTGCTGTTCTGGTAAGTAAGATGTATTAAATATCTTTTCCTTTAATTTATATCTTTTAGTATTTTCTACTTATATCTCTTTTCCTCTATTTATAAAAACATACTAACTATTAAATTTGAAGCTTTCAAAACTCTGAGAGCTTGTTCCCATTTTGTGCTAAATTCCATGCCCTAGAATTTCTCTGACATGTTGCTAAAAGGTACATGCTTCCCGCGTATGGCCAAAACCGCAAATCAAATACTTTAACAAGATTTGATTGCATGTGTGGAAAGACTTCTTTGTTCCACAGTATTTAAAGATGTTTGTGCTAAATGATTTCAGTTTCTTCCTGCTCTCTAGTCATTCTATCTTTGAGTTTTTCAGTCTGTGCATCTTTTGATGTTGCAATTCTGCATTTGAGGAGGGCTTGTTAAATCCATGATCACTGGGACCCACAAACAGATTCTCATAGATATTTACCCTGCTTCATCCTCAAGCATTTTCATCGCACGTGCAATACAACAAATGATATTTAATTGTATCACTGTATTAAAATTGTTGCATATATCTCCAGCTCCTGTAATGGCTGCATAAAGGGAAAAATTTTAAAAAGTAAGAACTACTGACAGTAAAGGAGAAAATTTCTGAAATTCACACAATATAATGGTTGTTCTCATTTCAGCTGAAACAGTTCTTCTTCTATCTCCTGTTGGAGTTCCCTTCTGGACATTTTTCTTACATAAACGAAATGGAGCAAAGTAATAGAGAAGGAAAAATAGTTAAGAAGTACCCCTAAATATAGAAACCAAATTTTCAAACTGACTTTCTTTCAAATACCTTATTGGTAAATGTGTGTATTTTTTTGAACTCACAATCTCGCACTTGCTAGGCAGGCACTGTGCCACTGAACCATAAGCCTTCACCTGTATTTGTGTATTCTTGGGGGTACTAACTTATTTTGCCTTGGTAGATGCTAGTTTGAAGTGAATTATCAAGACTCAAACTATGTTTCTTTTTTTTTTTTTTGGTACCAGAGATTGAGCTCACAACCAGGCACTTATGCCGTTGAGCTAAATCCTGGCCCTGTATATTTCTTAATCTCACTTCTCTCACAGAGTGATAGATAAGAAAATATCTGGAAGAAAGAATCAGTTTCAACAGAGAGGTTGGCTATGAGTGGTAGGCAGAGCAGATCATAAATCTAGGCTGCATGTTTTTATCGTTAGGAAAATAAAAGGTGAAATAATGCCTATTGTAGGACAGTTTCCTTGCTCCAGGGTCAAAATATTTCATTGTGGCTTATTTGCACATAAAAAAAGAATTAAGAGACACTTTGGGAACAGAACATTTTGGAAACACACTGTCATTACCAAGTTATACCCACACCCACCCATGCCTATTTCCACTGGAGTAGAAGTTTAGCCTTTTAGGATCAAAATCAAAGTATATTCTTCTGGGGCCAGAGGTTTAGCTCAGCACAAACACCTGCCTGGCAAGCAAGCGCAAGGTCATGAGTTTGATCCCCGGAACAACAACAACAACAACAAAAGTCTCGCTTATGCCTCACTGGACACAGAAATTTTGAATTCATTCCTGACAGTATTTGTTACACGGCATTTTTCCAGGGCTTTGCAAACAGTTTTGCTTGTTTTATAAATAAGAACATGAGAGTTTCATGGTGATGCCATAAAAAACAACTTCATGCTGCTAGTTGTTGCCTAAACCATTAACATCCAGACATTCATTTGTCATAATATTTAAATTTTAAAATGTCTACATGATTGGCCAGAAAGACTATGTAAAAATCAATTTACTATTCACCTCTGTTGGAAAAGAGTCCTTTTTGTGCTAATAGTTTAATCTTGATTAATACTAAAAGAGAATAACACCAAACACGTGTCTCATCTGGAGAATAAAGGAGCAGTATAGTTCTCTAACAGGAAAATATTTGTTGTTTGCCTAAATAATGAATTTTGTGGATAACTTGTCTAAGAATGTGGTTAAAAAGCAAGATTGATAAAGGATGCCAGACAGATTTCCATGATAGCAAGAAAGGGAAAAATGTAATTTTTCACATGGAAAATGTATGAGCAGGGATAAAACTAAAGATAAATTTACTTTTACTATTTTTTTTCCAATTTGTTTCCCAAAAAATTTGAAACAAATAATTTAATACAATTTTTTTAGTTACAAGTAATCAATATTACATTTTCATGGGTATTGGTAATGAAAACAATAATAGAAAGTTAAGGAGTAAACAATATAGAATACAGAGCTGGTTCTCACCATAACAGGTTTCTTTCTTATTGTGTGTTTTGGAACTAAAGAGAAACAGGACCCAAATTTCCAAAAACACCTGTGTAATGTTGATAATATAAAGAAAAATAAAATGGTTGCTTTATGCTTTTAGAATTTCCACGTATCTTTCAGGATCCGGCTACGTGACCTTTAAACACTGGCTATGACACAATTTCTTTCGAATGGCAATGAACACATCTACTGATAGAAAAAGCAGCGCTGTGTTAATCCAGAACTCTTTCGAAGGACAGAGCTTTCTCATGACCCTTCCCAAGAGAAGTAGGTCGATGGTGACATTGGTGCGTCATTCAGTGAAAGGAGAAATTCACAGGTCAAAAGAAAACCCATCTCAAAGCAGGGAAGATTCATTATTTCCACAGAATCTATGCAAATAAAAGTAGTTCTTTCTTTCTTTTGTCTACAAACCTGAGTATCTGGTTAATCTCAGCCATCACCGCCCTCCTTTTGTGGTGCATTCCCACGAAAAGAAAAAAAGTTCTCCTCTCTCGCTACATTTGCTCTCCTCTACACCTGCCATGTTTCCCACAACAGCAATTACTGTTCCCAGCTTCTGTAGAGAAAACACTTTAAAATACTTTAAACTGAAACTGTTTCCAAAGTTTCTCTTTGGAAGAACACCTTTAATATTCAGTACTTTCCACTTACGTCTTTAAGTCTTAGTTAAAACTAAATTTGCCAAACTCTTCACTACATTATTAATATTTCAATACAGAATTCACATTTTTAAATCACAAGAAAATGAAAACACAGCATTGTGGGAATTACCTCATCTGCCTCTTTCTTTTCTCCTGATTTGGGTGTTGATCCACTGGTCTTTTCACTGGCATGCTAAAAAAGAGAGAAATGAAGATAATGTTTAAGAGAGGAAGTGAGAAAGGTTACAGTGCCTTTAACACAAAAAGGCTAAATGCACAGACTTTAAAAACAAGCACTCCTTTAATCTTCCTCCTGAGATAATGGTTAATTCTATACAGATAAAGAGGCTTTGAAATGGATGATACAGACATTCATGTGAGATCTAGAAAGTCACTCTGTAATTAACAAGACACAGAGCTGACAGTGCTGCCAACACAGCATCCTGTCTCCTACAAAACGTCCTGTACAATTTTGCATCCCCAATTGGTGTATGAGATGTCTGCTTCATCATGGAGATGAGATCTCGAAGGACCATGTTGCATCTAAAGCCATACTTAAGCCTCGGATCATCAGAGACACAAGAACCCACACCACCACGTTCCAAGTCACCTATCACTCCCAATAGCTCCTGGAAATTCCCTAGAGTTCTTCTATCAGACTATTTATCACTACACCATCATAAAACCTGAAAGCAAAAGTCCATACATGCACCTTGTACTTATTATTTATTATTTATTATGTTTAGAAACAATATTTTTAACTAATACATTAGGAGTAAATGTAAAGATTTTTACATGGAACATAAAAGCTTATATGTTCATTTGTCTTAGTGAAAAGGTAAAATAAACACTAAAGTTTGCTAAATCTTTTCAGAAATGAAAAATGTTTGCATGTTCCCTACAATAGGATATAAGAAATTAGTTCATTCCTTGCATTTTTTTAAGATGTGCAAGATAGTAGGAAAAGGGATTCCAATGTGAGAAAAATAAAAGCTCACTACTGGATTCCAATCTGATCAGCCTCAGCTAAACCAAAATATAAAACACTAATATATTCCCTAGTTCAGAATCACAATCTGAATATGCGGAATGAAATTATTTAAGAAGAGTGATAATGATAGCAATAATTTATAGAATATTGACAAAACATTTTCATATATATTCTTAATAAAAAACAGGTCATATGGCTTTATAGATGAGAAAATATAATAATAACTCAATGTTCTTCAGAATTACATCTATTAGTAAGTGAGAAATGGTCACGAAACAAATCAATAATTTGCTGTTTACCTCTCTTCCATGCTAAATAGAATCACATAATATTACTTTAATCATATCAACAGATGTGCTAATAAAGAAATGACCAAGAACATGAGACTATATGGCTAGATTCTTTACTTAATGGTTCTTTATAAGTACAACTAATAATGAGTCACTTTAATGAATGTAAATGTTTCCCCCCAAAAGAAACTCGTGGATCAGAATGGACTCCACAAAAAGCAGACAAGCTGGAATTTCCTTCTATGTCCTAGTCAAGGGGTTGCTTGTCCATCGTTGAAGGCAATCAGTAATGAATAATTCATGAATTTTGAAAAATAACTTGTAAAAAAACATTTAAAAGCTGATATCTAAGCCACACATGATGACTGTATTTGGGAGGCCAAAGTGGGGTGGTCACTTGAACTCACAAGTTTGAGACAAGCTCTGGAAAACCTAGTAAGATTATGCTACAAAATAAATTTAAAATTGTTTAAAATGCAAGGATATATCCGAACTAGATAGTAGGTGATAAGTATTAATGAGCGAAAGTTTTGCAGAGGTCAGACCTGGAGTGGGGGAATAAAATACTTGTCTCTGTATTAGCATAAGGTTATCTTGGTACTGAGAGTCTTCATATAAGCAAACTGAAACTGAACTTGAAGGCATTTCTTGTAACTTTTTAAAAAAGAAGTCTCAGTTAATTACAAACATCCAGACAATCAACTGGTTTTATAACCAGGGGTCACCCATCAGGCTTAACCATTTCCACTCAAGTAATTACTTTGGCTATTATCAGCCTATAAAGCTTGTTGCTTCTGCTGCTGAACTGAGCTCTCTCACCCTCTTCCAGGTCTGAGTGCTGCTCTAATTCTGAACTGTTTCATTTACTCAGATAAGCTGTGTTAAATGTATTTTGTCTGAAATTTTCTTTTAACATCTCTAGAACAAACATTCACTATTTGGAGATAGTTTTTAATATGGGTAGATCTACAAAGACAAGAGAGCTATCAAATCTGTCTCCTTCCAGCACTGATAAATTTAGAATCATGGCATCACATTCACTTAAATTCCATACATTTAGATTAGATAAAGTAAATAACAAAAGCAATATCCACTGTTTTATTATTATTTGCTGTTTTGAGGGCCTCCTTTACTTGTCAGGTTTTACTATCTCATTTTACAAATGAGAAAACTTGAAAGGTGGCTTGCTTGGTTTCTCATGTAAGAACCCACACACTCTGTACAGTTTTACTCTGATTCCTGCTCACATGGTAAATTTGTGTCATGATTTACTGCCCCACAACAAAAGGGCACATCCAGCATTTTATCCCTTAAAATACAGGTCAAAGATGATTGCTATAAACATTTCTAAATTGTTTCCTTATGGGGCTTGAAAGAGACTCCACTGCAATCAATCCAGATTAACCAAAATAAGTAGTACTTGCTTTCATTGAAATGCTCAAAATCCTCCAAATTTTGTAGATTCTAAATAGTTTGGGAAGGCTATACGAAATGAATGCTTTTTAAAATGCTGAGTTACAACAATTTAAAAATACAAGCAGTATTATTTTGTCATTTCAAAAGAACTATTTGTTCTCAATAAACAAATAGCTTTTAATAGTATGCAAAAGTGTAATAACAAATAAAAATCACTCACAATTAAATGCTAAGTGTGGAGTTTGAGCTCTGACTCAACTGAGAACTTCCACTCATGCAAAGCTTGGCTTTGCAGGACTTGGGTGCATTCTTTATTTTTATACAGCCAGCTATAAAATGTGATAAAAACAAATTTCTACACCAAGAGGAGGAGAACAAAGATGGGAAACAGCTCCTGAAAATATAAATCCAAGTGTGAAAAAAGTGCTGAGTACAAATGTGTTTTTGAAAATTAAAAAACAAAACAACACCACCAAATGGTACACGGTTTATTTTAGGGAAAAACAAAAACATTCTAAAATACAGCTGTGGTGATGATGGCCCCTGTGAATATGCTAAAAAAAAAAAATACTGTCTGCAATTATGGGTGAATTGTCTGGTGTCTGAGTTATTCTTGAATAAAATTTTAAAAATCATAAAATCGTTTGAAACTCAAAAATTGTCCTTCAACCTGAAGAGAAGGCCACTGAGAGCAGTATCTGCACATCAAGGGACAGCTGTGGCAGAATAAGGGACAAGGAAAATGCGTCTCCAGCCCCCTGGATCCTCACACGTTGCTCAGGTCTCTTACTGTGTGGCCACCTGTACTGAGCGAGGCACATTTCAGGGGACCCTTGAGGACAAGAAAACTTCTAGTTAGTTTAGCAGTTCATTCAGCCCATCTCACAAGCACCCAGGGAGCTTTAGAAAATGCCCCTGCCAGACAGCAAGGGTTTAGACTTTGTTTGAATAGGATACGACCTGATTTTTGAGTATACTTTTCTAAAATTCCCCAGCTGCTTGAAATGTGCAGCCAGGACTGGGAACTGTGGGCTTTGCCGGGAGATTCGTGGGCACCACAAATGGTAATTTTGCTTCTCAGACCACCTTATCCAGGCAAGGCCTAGAGCAGCTCTGGGCTCCTCCTGGGCAAACTGATTTCCCAGGAAAGGGCCACAGTGCCCATGTTTACCGCAGAATGTCCCGTCCAGTTCCAAGCCTTGCCTTGTTCGTGGAGTTGGTTTCTATTAGTTAAAGAAAACAAATTAGCGCTCTATCGTACACTGTCTTTCCTACTAATTACTCCCTAAATTTCTATATTGTCTTCTCAACAAGTTGGTAAATTGTATATTTTTTCTAGATACGTGGTGGCAATGTAATAATCTTAACTGAATAAAGCATTTCCACAAACTTTTAAACAGTCCCCGCAAAAGTACTTTTGTTCTTTTCAGACGGGTAAAATAGATGCAAAAGAGAAAGCCTGGGAAACGCATAAAAAATTAGAAGAAAACGTGCAATTGGCTTCCTGCAAAATTCCTTAAAAACTATTTTTGTGCATATTCTAATAAGATGATTCAACAAACAATCAAGAAGGCCAAGGTGGAAAGCTGGTTTTGCATCAGAACTCTCTACCAGGGCAGATTTTGGGCCTGCAGACTCCTCGGCTTGTTGGCGTCACAGGGCATCTCTGCTGGCTGCATTTCTCTTGATGGGTGGCTTCAAGCTGAATTTGGCCAATGGTAAATTCACTGGTATGGCATGGGTGGGTAAGACACTGGAAGGGGGTAATGTTCCCCACTTCTGTCTGCCCCTGGGGGCCTCACTAGTACACACTGTCTTGCTGCAGGCCAAGCTAATTATCCTTCCAGCTTCTTCAGGGTAGTTTAGTCTCTCTCTGTCCTGCAGCCTAGGGTTAGTAGCAGCTTCCTGTAATTTCTTGTTTCTGGATTGTCTCCACTTCCCTGCTAGTTTCTCTGCCTTATCCTGTTTCTGGGTTACCAATTTCTTATATTACATTCCTTTTGTCCTAAATACTCAAAGATTTTGTTGGCTCTTAGTTGACTGTGATGAACTCTGACAGGACAGACACAGAATGGGTTTAGGAGGGAAAGTAATTTAACCTTCCAGTTTATTCTCAAAGTGGAGTGGATGCTACCTATCCCCAGGCTGACGTATTTATGAGAAAAGCTAACGTTAAAGAGGAGCCTGGGCCAATGTTTGGTTCACTAGAGAATACAATGAAAGCTATTCCACTCCCTCATTCTCCCTGGTACCAATCTGATTGTGGTGAATTCTGAGACCTTGAAATGAAGACGAGAAGTAAGCAAACAATTGAAGGTGTCATTTGTTAGGTTATAAACGTTAGAGCAGAAGAATTTAGGTTTTGCTTTCCTTAAGGTACAGATAAGCCAGGTTCACCTGATAAGTTTTCATTTAGACTTCGTCTATCTCCTGACTATGTATTATATTAGTTTCACACCTCTATAATACTTTAGAGGTATTAAACTACATGGGAGA